TTGAGAGATCGGGAGCACTGCATGCTTGAGGCGGACTGCCTTGTTATTTACAGTCAATGAACATGAGTAACATGGAAATTTGGTGAGGCTCTGGAATCTGTCACCAAGTAATGTTGAGCAATGCTGTCTTTAATATCCCCAGGCATGTGGCTGAAACCTTTTGAAGGCGAAGGGTGGAAGGCGACTCCCTGTTTGTAAGTCAATTCTTTCGCAAATTTTGTTTTCTGCAGTGCTCTCTTGGAAAAAAAAAATTCTCATCATCATCATTATTATTATTTTTTGAGTTCCTTCGTTAGCATCTGTTTTCACCCGATTGATTTCCCTCGAGGTTCAGCAACTGAGAGGAGGATTGATCTTTGCTTCCCTCCTGATCCATGACCAAGTTTTTGATTTTTTTTTGTTGTTTTCCTTTTTTTTTTTTAAATCTAGAAAGACACTTGGGTGTGCTGGTGCCTGGCCAATGGCATGTTGACCCAGAGTATTATAAAAAGGAGTGCAGGGAATTGACCGGTCTTGCTAGGCAGAATTAGGGAGGCATCAGGCCCGGAGGAGAGAGAATAGAATGAATTTCAGTAAGCAGCCAGGCGCTGTCCTAGGTGCTGGAGATACAAAGCTAAAGGTGAACCAACCCCTATCCTCAGGGAGCTTCCATTTTATTGGGAGGGAATAAAGGAGCATAGTTTGGCCTTGGCCTGATTTTAGAGCTTGGGGAGGAATTCTCAAAGGAAGGGGGTCCTCAGAGACCTGACAGACCCTTGGATCAGATTTGTTCCTTAGCCAAGTGCCTTTTTTCTCCCCAAGACACTGAGAGAATTGATGTACTAATAAAAATATAATAACAAAATCTTCTACCCAGCTAAAATTGGGGCAGCTCAGGAAGGAAATTGTAGCTATCCCAACCTAATGCATTTCCCCCACCCCCTACATTCCCAAAGAAATCTCAGTGCAAAGTCCAAGACTTCCAGAGAGCCAGTGGGGCGTGATGACTAGGGAGAGAAAGTTGGCCTTAGAACCAGAAGACCTGGGTTCAAGTCCTGCCTCTGACAAGTACTGGCTGCAGGACCCTGTGCAAGTCCCCTGGCCTCTAGGTGCCCCGGGCAACTCCAAATGTGTATGTATTAGAGAAGGTGCTGACTTATCTTGCTAGAGGGAGTTATTGACCAGGCATTCCCCAACCCAGTGACACTACGGGTGCAGTTTAAGAGAAAGAGAGAGGAGGGGGAAGAAGAGGGAGAGAGAGGAAGAAGAGAAGAGAGGAGGGGGAGAGAGAGAGGAAGAAGAGAAGAGAGGAGGGAGAGAGAGAAGAAGAAGAGAGAGGGAGGGATGGGGGAAGGAGAGGGAGAGAAAGGAAGAAGAGAAGAGAGGAGAGGAGGGAGAGAGAAGAAGAAGAGAAGAGAGAGGGAGGGACGGGGAAGGAGAGAGGGAGAGAGGAAGAAGAGAAGAGAGGAGGGGGAGAGAGAGAGAGGAAGAAGAGAAGAGAGAGGGAGGGACGGGGGAAGGAGAGAGGGAGAGAGGAAGAAGAGAAGAGAGGAGGGGGAGAGAGAGAGAGGAAGAAGAGAAGAGAGAGGGAGGGACAGGGAAGGGAGAGGGAGAGAGAAGAGAAGAGAGGAGGGGAGAGAGAGAGAGGAAGAAGATAAGAGAGGAGGGAGAGAGAGAAGGAAAAGAGAAGAGAGAGGGAGGGACGGGGGGAAGGAGAGAGAGGAAGAAGAGAGTGAAGGAGGGAGAGGGAGAGAGAGGAAGAAGAGAAGAGAGGCGGGGTTAGAGAGAAAAAAGGAAAGAAGAGAGGGGGAGAGAGAAAGAAGAGAAAGAGGGGAAAGGGAAGAAAGGGGAGAGAGGAAAAAGAGGAAGAGAAGAGGGGGGAGAGGAGGGAAGAGGAGAGGGGGAGGAAGAAAAGGGGGGAGGAAGAGGGGGAAGAAAGGAAGAAGAAGAGAAAGAGGGGAAAGAGAGAGGGAGAGGAAGATAGACACCTTGATACAGAGGATCAATATAATCTCGTTTCATTTCATAGCATTCTGCTGAGGTAGGGAAATAATGGTGAACTAATGAGGGAAACTGATGCCTGGTGAGGTAACCCAGTGGCCTCAGCTCCCACAGTCAGAGTCAGAGTCAGGACGGGAATCGGATGTTACTAAAGCAGGGGAAGTTTCAAGTTTGGGTTTAAGCGAGGCTCTGCAGGAGGGCCCCCCAGCAGAGGTGGAGGGCTGCGTCAGGCCAGTGTAGGTTGGTTCTTGCCGATTCCTCTCAGAGACCCATGGAGCATCCTGTATTCCCAAAGGCAGTGCTGGTCCAGCAGACATTGCTTGTGAGGTGGAAGAGTTTGTAGGTTCAGGCCTGAGGACAACTAAGGCTAATTGAGCCCATTGAAAGTCTAGGTAGGAGGCTGATTGTTTTGTTATGGACACCTCAGGTCTTGTGGACTCTGGCAGGACTCCTAGTGGGGCTGTGGTCCTCGCTGTCTGGGGAGGGGCTGCCCACACCCACCCTGTAGTAGATTCTGGGGGTTTGTGCTGGGTCCTTAGGAAGGCAGAAGCCTGTCCATCCTCTGCCCGTTAGAGCCACGTGACTCTGGTGGGGCTCTGTTGTTTCTCAATCCCAGTGATTCTGTCTTTGAGAGGAAAGTGAAGTTTGTAGGATCCCAGCTGTGCAGCAGAAATGAACCTCAGAGACCTAGTCTGACCCCCTCAGTTTACAGAGAGGGAAACCAAGGCCCCAAAATAGGGAAATGACTTGTCAAAGGTCACACACAGGTCCTAGATTTAGAACTGAAAGAGACTTCAGAGGCTCTCTGACACCTCCGTTCTCCAGATGAGGAAACTGAAGCCCAGAAAGAGGGAGGGATGTATAGAATTAGAAGTTTAGAGTTGGAAGGGACCTCAGAGGACACTTAATCTACCCCCTTCCCACCCCATTTTATATGTGAGGAAACAGACCTTGGGAAGTGACTTGGGTAAGGTCACACAGGCAGCATGTGGGAGGCTGGGATTTTCCCCTGTACCATGGACACCCCTTCCTCACCTGCTCTCAGTCTTCTACCCCTTCCCTTTGGTGCACCGGAGAAGTAGAAATTAAAGCCCTTCCCTAATGGGGAAGGAAACTTCCATCCCTCCTCAGGTTCCCAACCTCCTGCCTTAACACTGCATGTGGTCGGGCATGTCAGGGAGTAGGGGAGGAAAGAGAGTGCTGTGTTCAGGACCCCCTGTGGCAGACAGAAAGCCTGGGAGATGTGAAGGACTTCTTCCCTCCCCCTCCCCCCCCCTCCCCCTCCCCCTTCCTCTCTTCTTCCCCTCCTCTCCCCCCTCCCCTTCCCTATCTTTTTTCTCTCCCCTCTCCCCCTCCCTATCCTTCTCTCTCCCTCCTTTCCTCTCTATCCTTCTCCCTCCCCCCTTCCCCTCCTATCATCATTTCCCCCTTCCCTCTTTCTATCCCCCTGTCCTCTTCTCTCCCCCTTCCTTACTTATCTCTCTCTTCTCTCCTTCCCTCTCCCTCCTTTCCCTCCCTCTGCTTTTCTTTCCCCCTTTCCCTCCCCCTCCCTATCTCTATCTTCTCCCCCCCCGCTTCTCTCCTCCCTCCTCCTCCCCATCACTCTCCCTTTCCCCCTTCCCCTTCCTATCCCTCCCCTCCTCTCCCCCCTTCCCTCCTTGTCCCTCTCCTCCCTATCCCTCTCTTCTCTCCCTCCTCTTCTCTCCCCTTCCCCTCCTTATGCCTCTCCTCCCTCCTTGTCCCTCTCCTCCTCCTCCTCCTCCTCCCTATCCCTCTCCTCCCTCCTTGTCCCTCTCCTCCCTCCTTGTCCCTCTCTCCCTCCTCCTTTCCTATCCCTCTCTTCTCCCCTTCCTCTTCTCTCCCCTTCCCCTCCTTATGCCCTCCTCCCTCCTTGTCCCTGCCTCCCTCCTCTCCCCCTCCCTATCCCTCTCCTCCCTCCTTGTCCCTCTCCTCCCTCCTCCCTCCCCCTCCCTATCCTTCTCTCTCCCCACCCCCCTGTCCTCTCCTCTCTCCCCCCTGCCTCCCTTGGCCTCTCATCCTTATGGTGGCATTAACCTAGCAAAATCTAGATGAGGCAGCTGCCCTGTGGCCGTGTTGGGTCTCTCCCTGGTTCTCCACCTTGTTCCTTCTGGAGATCACCTGGCTACAGGGATTGTGGTCCCCGGCTCTCCCTTTCCAGCTGGCTTGGGTTCTCTTCCAGGGATAACTGAGGGGGAATCCCCTCCCACCTCCTCAGTCCTTAGAAGTAAAGAGGAAATCGTAGTAGAAGCTCTGTTAATCTCTATGTGGCCTCACGGGCAGAACTCCAGTGTCTACACCCCACTGGGAAGTCCTGAGTTTGAGGGGATGACCCATGTGCAGCCACAGCTCTCTGCAGGAGGGTGAACAGAGGGAGAAGGCCTCCTTGGTTTCGGCTTCTGTGTTCTGCCTTCTGGAGTCGATTTAGGCTCATAGAGTTAACGAGGATGGAAAAGGAGACAATATTATTTTCTTTGTTGGGGGGTGTGGTCTTTCTTTTCTCAGTGGGTTAGCCAGGAGAGAGGAGGCTGGCAGGAGCCTTCATTCAGGCAGTCAGATGAGCCCATCTCTGCTGTAGTTGGATAATGACTTCAGATCTAGATAGGGGTGCCCTGTGTGAGTTGCCCAGGTGAATCACTTTGGGTGGGTGGGGAGCCCTGTGTGATTTGGGGAGCATTTCATGAGAACATATAGCTCCCTGGTCCTCTGGTGCCCCTCCCTCCTCCTTGGGCATGCACGTTAGTGAACCCTGAAACGATGCTATCACCCCGAGCCGCCTCATTGTGTATGCTGCTGGCATCTGGCCCCCTTCCAGCCCCTCCCTCCCTCCTCTCCTCCCCACATCATTCATGCTCTTGCTAAGATGATGAAAATGATGCCTCAGGGGGCCCCTCTGCTGTAAACTTCTCTTGCTCCCCCTTCCCCTTCCCTTCCCTCTCCCCCCCCCCTTGTTTGCTCACTCCTCCGGAAACTGACCTCCACCCACCGGGTGTTGCTTTTAGGTACAGGCCAAATTCCGGTACCCTTTCTACTATGAGATGTGTTGGTATGTTTTGGAGAGATATGTACACTGCGTGACCCAGCGTTCGCACCTCACTCAGGAGTACCAGAGAGAATCAATGCTCATTGGTGAGTGCTGGCAGGGGTCTGGGGGAGGGAGGCTTGCCATGCATCTGGGAAGTCTGGCTCCGTGACTGCCTCAGTCTTACAGAGTGGGGAAGAAGCAGCTGCTGAATGTCATGGGAGAGAGCCCTGAACTCAGTGGATTCTGTTCGGAGATGAGGGCACTGGGGGGAAAACTCCAGGGGTCAACAGGGGAGTGGTCATCCTTTGGGAGGGAGAGTCCCTGCCTTGGACAATGGTAACCAAGGCTCTTTGGGGACCTGGGAGTCTTAAAATCATCGGTGGCTTTGCAAAAAGGAAGGATCTTGGGGGGCGCTTTGCATGACCGGTCCCCAGTGTGTCTGCAGATTCAGGGGTGTCCTTAGCGCCCGCAGCCTGGTGTGTTCTGTTTAAGCCTTTGATTCGTCCCTGGTTGATTTTTCTGCATCACTGAGTAGCTTTTGTCTCATGGAGGAGGGAGGCTCTCAGGGAGAATACCCGGGGCCCATCTTTAACTCGGCTGCTGCAAGGGTCGATCGGGCTAGGAGATGGGGAGGGATGGCTGAGAAAGGGAGATCAGTGGGTGGTGGGTGATACTGATCCAGGCAAGGAGAGAGCGAGTTTCTCCCGTAGCTGCAGTAGCCCTGCCCCCCTGCCTTTATTTAAAGGGACATCAGCCCAAGCTAGGCTCTGCCCTCTCATTCTCTCACACATCAGTCCTGAAGTTGCATCCTGGCAGCTGACGGCAGTGGACATCTGGGCCAAGCAAAGCCGGCTCTCCACCCAGGAGTCATTAATAACTAACGTTTCCCTATCCTTGGAGGGTTTGCAAAGTGTGTTGTATACAAGGTCTCATCTGCGATGTGTAGCAGTTTAGATGAGGAATTAGGCTCAGAGGGGGCCATGCCCAGGGCAAAGCTGGGCAGCTAGACAGCTCAGTGGGTAGAAGCTGGGACTTGAATCAAGAAGACCTGAGTTCAAATCTAGCTTCAGAATACTTATTAGCCATGTGACCCTGGCCAAGTCACTTAATCCCATCTGCCTCAGTTTTCTCAATAGTAAAATGAGGATTATAATAGCACCTACCTTCCAGGTTTGTTGGGAGGATCAAATGAGACAGTATTTGTAAATAAAATGGGAAATAACCCAGCCTACAGCATTGTCTCAAGGCTCGCTGAAATCTTGCATATGAAAGCATGTAGCACGGCGCCTGGCATATAGTAGGTGCTGTATAAATGCTCATTCCCTTCCCCAGGGTCACACAGCTGGCCAGTAAGTGTCTGCGATCAGACCTGAACCCAGACCCTCCTGACTCCAAGTCCACAGCCTGGGCACCTTGGTGCCCCTCAGTCCTGGGCCTTCTGATCAGCAGAGGGAGGCGGGAGGTTCCTGCTTTCTCATTTTTCTTTCCCAGTTGTCTTTTCTAGATTTTCTCATACAGCAAGACTTCTTCCCCCAGCCCTCTTCTGCCCCGTCTTCTGGCGCTTTCAGTGGTACCAGAGACCAGAGACAGACCCCTGGAGGGTCAAGGCGGGGGGTCCTATAGGCCAGCAGAGCAGGACTTGTCTCACTCTTTTACAAATGCTGACGAGGTCTTGGGGTGTGTGTACATGTGTGCATGTGTGCATGTGTGTGGTGCATGCATGCGTGCGTGCGTGTGTGTGTGTGAGAGATAGTGCCTGCACTCTTACCACACCTCAACAAGTGGTATGCATTGAGGCATTTGGAACTGAGTCACTTGTCCGCAATCCCATGGTTTCATATTTTGATCTTTGAGGAAGGAAGGAAGGAGGTAAGAGAGGAAAAGAGGAAGGAAGGAGGGAAGAAAAGAAGAGAGGGAGGGATAGAGTGAGGAAGGAAAGAAGGGAGAGAGGAAGGAAAGGAAGAAGGAAAGAATAGAGAGAGAAGGAAGGAAAGAGTGAATAGATGGATGGATGAAGGCGTGAAGAAGCATTTTTGTGATTGAATGAATGAATGAATGAATGAATGAATGAGCCAGCTTATGGTGTGCCAGACACTGTGCTAAGCTACAAATAGGTTCCTGTCTTCAAAGGGGAAGGAAGGGAATAAGCATTTATGAAGCACCTGCTGCATGCCAAGCACTGTGCTGTGTGCTTTAACAGTTATTATCACACTGGATTCTCACCACAACCCTGGAGGGAGGTGCTATTTTTAACCCCATTTACTGGTGAGGAAACTGAGGCAGACAGAGGTGAAGGGACTTGACCAGGGTACCCAACTAGTCATTATCTGAGGCTGGATTTGAACTCGGGTTTATCCTGACCTCAGGCCTGGCTACGTCACCTGCTGCCTCCTTGATAAGAAAGTTTAGCTTCCAGTGGCTAGATGGAAAGGCCCGCTCAAGTCCTTAGGGTTTGCCAGGGCCCCCGCCTCTGGTGGCTTTCTCTTGGGAGAAGAGCAGATGTTGGACCGTCATGAATCACACCATCTCGGCCATGCCCTTCCCCTTCTGGAGCAGGGATGCTCACCTGGAGCCAGACCAGCTGATGATGGGATGGTAGCATTTAAGGCCTGGCTAAGCTGCCTGTGCCCCCAGTCAGATTTCTGCTCTCCCACCAAAGGCACCCAGGAAGAGACAGCTTGACGTTCCCCAGAGAGGCAGGAGGTGTAGGTGACTGTACCTCTGGGAATGTGTGTTTCTTTCCTTAAAAAAAAAAAAAGCTGTTATGTCCTTATACCTTCAGCATTTTCAAGTATCTCTCTCCGTTCCCCCCTCTCATAACACAGCATAAAAACCATTCCAGTGGCTCAAGGGAATGTGACAGTATCTACAACATTCTGCACCCATAGCCCCTCCTACTTCTGGAAATAAGGGAGGAAGGTTCCTTTTCTCCTTTCTTTGGCCAGAAGTTACTTCTTATTTTGAAAATAATTTGTAATTGTTTTGATGTTTTTTGTTTTTACATGGCCTTCATTTCCAAATTTATCCCAAGCCCCTTCCCATCCAGTGAGCTATCCGTTGCCACAAAAAATTAAAAAGAAAGACATATTACATACCTGTGGCCCCTCCACCTTCATCAAGAAGAGAGGGAGGTCCATGCTCAGTTTTATCATTTGTAATATGCAGCAAATAATGCTTGTTCTCGGTCTGTCATGGACTCGCAGTAAGGAAAGCAGGCTGTGTCAGTCTCCATAATGATGGACATTTATTTAATGCCTTAAATTTGCCAAACATTTTGCCTGTATCATCTTATTCAGTCCTCACCACTGCCTGATAACTGTGGGTGTGATGATCTCCATTTTAGAGGTGAGGAAAGTGGACCTCTGAGGGATTAAGTGAGGTGCCCCATAGTCACACAATTAATACAGTTTAGTGGTAGGATTTGAATCCACATTTTCCTAACTCTAAAACCAACACTCTGTCTGCTAATCCAATTGTATTTCTAGTCTTCTATCTCTATGTTTGAGTGTGTGTGTGAGAGACAGACAGACACACACACGGATTGAGAGAGATTGCCTTACGTATTTCATGTTTTCTTTATTGAATCCTGCAGATGCCTCGAGAAAACCCAGTGTAGACGGCTTCTCATCTGATTCCTGGCTGGAGATGGATGAGGAATCCTGTGAACTGCACCCCCAGGAAGAAAGGAGGAGAGAAAGAGAAGAAAAAGGAGAAAAGGAGAAGGAAGGAAAAGAGAAGAGGAGAAAGAGAAGGGAAGAAAGAGAAGGAAGAGAAAGAGAAGGAAGAGAGTGTAGACAAGGCACCCAAGCCGTTGGTGCCACTGGTCCTGCCTGTCCCCCCACTCCCGCCTCTCCCACCCATCCCGCCTGTCCTGCCCTTCCTGCCCCCCCATGCCACCGCCTCTCCTACCAGCACACCCACAGAGGGCCAGGAGGCAACCATGAAAAAGCCCAAAGTAGCCGCCGTGCGGTACCTCAAAAGGACTTTGTCCAACGAGTCAGATGAGAGCGTCAAGTCTGCCATGACCACGGACTATCCCAAAACCCCGACAGGCTCCCCTGCCACAGAAGTCTCCACCAAGTGGACTCACCTCACAGAGTTTGAGCTGAAGGGCCTGAAAGCCCTGGTCGAGAAGCTTGAATCCCTTCCGGAGAACAAGAAATGTGTCCCTGAGGGGATCGAGGACCCCCAGGCCCTTCTGGAGGACATGAAGGTGGGTAGCAGAGGGCGTTGGAGGGGAAGCCCTTTTATGTGTCATTTCTGGAGCAGAGGGAGGGGGTGTCAGGAAAGGTCCTAGGTCTAATGCTGGAAAGCACCATTTATAGGAGGTATGGAATGGATGGAAAGGCATTTGTGAAATGTCAGCTGTGTGCTGAGAGCTAGTAAGTATTGAGCAATGGCATGAAGTGTCAGAGGCCATCTGGACCTCCCTCTCTAGCCTGCCCCCTCCTCATTTTCTTTTTTTTTTTCTTTTATTGGCTAGGCAGTGGGGTTAAGTGACTTGCCCAGGGTCACATAGCTAGTAAGTGTCAAGTGTCTGAGGCTGGATCTGAACTCAGGTTCTCCTGACTCCAAGGCTGGAGCTCTGTCCGCTGTGCCACCTAGCTGCTCCCCTCTCCTTATTTTCCAGTTGAGGAAGCTGAGGCCAAAGGTTGTACTTGTCATAAGTGTGAGAGGCAAGATTGGACTAAGGTCCTCTGAACACAAAGATCTTTCCAGGTCTGCACGCCAGAGGATTTCACACCAGGAGGTGTGATCCAGTCTAGCTCCCCCATTTTACAGATGAGTCAACTGAGGATCAGAACTATTGAGGACTTGGCTGTATTCACCTACTAAGGAGTAGCCTAGCTGGGTTTCAAGCTGTTCTCTTCTGATTTCAAGTATTTGTGTTCCTTTTCCTACTACTGTTCTTCCTGCCACTGGACATCAGAGCCCGTCATGTCTGTGATCTCACTGGAGGGTCGTAACAACTCTGTGAGCAAAACAGTACAGGCCTGGTTATCCGTTTTCCCATATGCTTATATATGTACCCATTGCTTTCCCTCATAGTATAAACTCCTTCAGGGCAAGTTTCATTTTTGTCTCTGTATCCCCAGTGGCTAGTGTAGCTTCTAGTATGTAGTAGGTGCTTAATCCATGCTTTGTGATTAACTGATCATCCCCATTTTACAGAACACAAATTTAACATTGGAAGGTACCTTTGAGGCCATCTAATCTCATTTTATAGATAGAGAAACAGGCTGAGAAGGTCACAGCCACCAAGTGTCAGAGGCAGGATTTGACCTGTGTGGAGGGTGCATAGTTACAGGCCATAGGGATGAAATCTCCAGTCATTGGGAAGGAGATGGATTCAGAATCTCACCCATCTCCAGAATTGTGGTCTCTGCTTAGAGACCCATGAAGCCAGGATATAGATGACCTTGGAGACTTAGGCAGTCTAGTTTAGGGGAACCTGTAGTCGGGAAGACATGGGTCTGAATTCCTTCTTAGACACTTCACTGTGTGACCTTCGACCAGGCCCTTGATGTCCGCTTCCTCATTTGTGAAGTAGAGATGGCAGTAATAATGTTATTGTTATCATGTCCTTATATCATGTGACATGTGTCCCTGGGTAGTTCTGAGGCATAGGTGAAAATGAAAAATATAAGAAGCTTTGTGAGCTTTAAAGTACTATGTAAATTAATAGTGTTACTATTATTCCTAAATTTCCTTAAAATTTTTAGAGATACGTTTTTGTTTTTACATCACTTTCCTTCCCAGATATATCCTTCCCCAGCAATCCATCCCTTTTTTTTTTTGAAACTTCAGCATTTTAATACTAAAAATACTGTGAGTGAAATGTGATCATGTGTAGTTTATTTTGCTTTTTATTAGCGTGACCTGTAATGTGAAGGAAAAAGATGTATAATCTTGAGATCTCAATCTGGTTAATACTAAAAGTAGAAGGTATAGTAGACAACTTGTTGGATTTGGAGCCAGGAAGACCTGGGTTCACATCGTCCCAGGAACACTTAGTAGTTGTATAAACCTAAACAAGTCGTTTAAATTCTAATCATCCATCCCTTTTTAACAAATAATAAAAAGGAGAGGCCAGGTAGGTGGTGCAGTGGATAAAGCGCCGGCCCCAGAGTCAGGTATCCCCAAGTTCAAATCCGGCCTCACTTAATAGCTGGGTGACCCTGGGCAAGTCATTTAATCCTGTTTGCCTCATTTTCCTCACCTGGAAAAGGAAATGACAAACCACTTTAGTGTCTCTACCAAGAAAACCCCAGATGGGGTCATAAAGAATTGGACGTAACTGAAAAACGTCTGAACAACAGCGAAAAAGGGGAGAAAAAAGCAGCTAGTAGAGGCAGTTTTCCACTCCTAAATCTCCCCACCTCTGTAGAGAAGGGAGGGAAGGTGTGTTTTCTCTCTCTTGCTCTCTTTTTAAGTTTGCTGGTCATCATGAATGGCTCTTGAAAGTTCTTACTGTGAGACCAGATTCAGAGGCCCGCTTGACTTCTCATCTCTGAAAAAACCCAGCTAAAGTTGAGGGATGGGAAGGGGGCAGAGAAGCAGCTGAGGGTTATAACTTTCTTCCTCAAAAGCTCCATTGGGTGGTCCTCTTCCCTTCAGGAGGGAAGCCTTGGGTCACTGTCAGAGAACCTTCAGGTACAAGAAGCAGAGGGCGGTAGCACTCACTTTCATGAAGCCATATGGGTTTTATTTGTACAATAAGTGGGTTTCTGATGGAAGGTCAGAGCTGGAAAGGAGCTTAGGCATCCTTGAACTTAACCCTTTCATTTCCCAGAGGACTTAACAGAGACTTGAGTCAGTTAAGTATCTTTCTCAGAGCTCATACTGCTAGGAAGTGGTAGGGCTGGGATTTGAACCCAGAGTCTTTGATAACATGTCCATTGCCTTTGCCTATCTGGCCCCGTCTTTTTGACAGAGGATGATACTGAGTTTCAGAGGAAAGAAGAAAGGAATGAAACAAGTATTTACCAAGCACCTACAGTGTTCCAAGCACCATGCTAAGTACTTTAAATATATTTATCTCCTTTGATCCTGCTGACAACTTTAGGAAGGGAGGTGCTAGTATTATCCCCATTCTGAAGTTGAGGAAATTGAGGCAGATAGGTAAGGTGACTTGCCCAGGGTCATACAGCTAGTGGCAAAATCAGAATTTGAATTCAGATCTCCAGCCACTAAGCCCAGTGTTCTTTCTAATTACTTGCTCTGCTACGTGGTAATTTTTTTTTAATCAAATTGGTAACTATGGAGGTAATTTTTGTGATTTAAAAGAATTGGGTGACAGTCACTTTAGTGGTATTAGTAGTGGCTGTAATTATTGTTGTGATAAAATCTCATCAATCATTTCATCCAAAAGGTAAGAACGAGATAACAGTGATAACTATGCTAATATATGATGATGATGATGATGATGATGATGATAATAATCATAATAATAATACTTGATATATGATAGAGAAGAGTGGATAGGGCATTGAAATTAGGAAGACCTGGCTTTAGTTCCTGCCCCAGAAACTTCTAGCTGTGACCCTGGTTAAGTTACTTATCCTTTGTCTCCCTCAGTTTCTTTACTTGTAAAAGGCAGGGGTTGGTCTAATTCTGGTTTGGACATCTCCTCGTTATGTAAGAGGTGGACTTTGAAAGGTAGCCAGAAATTAATAATTAATAATTATGACTAATTATATTAATAATTCTACTATCAGTATATTGATTATTAATTAATTTAAATTTTTATTAATTTGTTTTTATTTATTAATTTAATATTATATAATTTAATAACAAAATTGATTTAATTAATAATTTTATTAATTTAATTTTAATTAATGATTATTAATATTAATTATTATTAATATTAATAATTATAAGCTCCTTGAGGGCAGAGGACTCATCTTTTGCTTCCTTTTGTGTTCTCAGCACAGTGCCTGGCACATAGTAGGTGCTTAATAAATGTTTATTGATTGAAGGAGAAGGGAGGTTTGAGGCCATTCTAGGCCGGGGGGAAATGGGCATTTTCATTCCCATGACTGGTTTGGTGGGAAAGGGATGGCTCCATCATTCTCGGGCAGAGGAATCTTCTGTCAGACGTGGGTCAATTGACAGACATTTATTTATTTATCATTCATTATCTGCCTGGCACTCTGCAGTCCCCTGGCATACAAAGGGTGAAAAAAAAATAATGCCCTGCTCTCAAGGAGCTCCCATTCTATGGGAGGGGCCAGCATGTACAAGGTGTACCAAAAGTCTTAGCTTAAGACTGCACTTAGACTTTTGGGACACCATGTATAAAATATAAGAAAAATAAAATATATGAAAAATAACATAATATGCATAAAATGTAAGAAAAATAGTAACACAAGGTGATTTTGGGGAGTGGAGAAGGCATTTACTGTGGGGTAGGAGGCAGAATCAGGATTTGAGCTTTGAAGGGAACTAAAGATTCCAAGAGGTAGAAGAGAGGAAGGTGTGTAGTCCAGGCATGGGGCACTGTCAGTGCAAAAGCGTGGAGGCTGGAATTGGGAGCGTCATATAGGAGGAACGGCATGAGGGCTGTTTTGGCTTAGATGTTCAGAGTACAGTGAGGGGACTGTTGCACTAATTCAGTGCTAAGCACCCTGCCTGGCACGCGGTAGGTATATAATAAGTGCCAACGGACTGACTTTGTATAAGACGGAGCCAGGTTATAAAGGGCTTTAAACTCCCAAGTAAAGGAGCCTCTGGAGGTTCTGGACTGGGGAGTGACATGGTCAGATCAGTGCTTTGGAGGGATGTAAGTCTAGAAAGGCAAGTTGAGTCCCGACTGTGAAAGAGCCTTTAATAGAATAATAATAATAATAATAATAATAATAATAATAATAGCTAGCATTTATGTGCCAGGCCAGGGGTGGGGAATCTGTGTCATCGAACAGATGTTCTGTGAGGTTTGGATTCAGTCAAAAGGCTGCACTTGAGGACCTAGAAGGCCATAGGCTCCCCACCCCCGTGCCAGGCACTGTGCTAAGCGCTTCACAAATACCGTCTCTTTTGATCCTCACGGCAGCTTTGCGAGGAAGGTAAGATTATTATCTCTGTTTTACAGTTGAGGAAACTGAGGTAGAGGCAGGTAAGTGACTTACCCAGGGTCACACAGCTAGGGAGTGTCTGAGGCTGGATCTGAAGTCAGGAAAATGAGTCTTCCTGACTCCAGACCTAGCGCGCTGTGCACTATGGCGCCCCCAGCTGCCCATGTTAAGAATTGAGCATTTAAGTTAAGAATGTTAAGCCCATGAATTTGGTGCTTAACTTGTGGGCACCAAGGAGCCAGTGAAGTCCTATGAGCTTTAACACAGGTACTAAGCAGTTGGCTAAACCATCCAATTAACTAAGTAATTATTAATTTAATTGTGACCAAGCAAGCTATTACTAATTGTTAAATTAATTACCAATTGATTAGTATTTAATATTTATTTGTTTATTAGTTTTTGATGGCTTTTTGTTTTGTTTTTGTCTGGATCCATGATTTCGGCAGTATAAAAAGCACCCTGCGAGGAATTTTTCCTACCAGTAATCTTAGAAAATTGTCTGAAACACTTAGAGCTTAAGCCACAAATTTAGTCACCCAGCCAGGGTGAGTCTGAGGCAAGACCCGAGCCCAGAACCTGCCTCCCAGGTCAGCTCTAGTCACTATCTTATGCTGCTTCTTCAATTCATTATTCTACATTTTTTTCCATCGTGGACCAGACCCCTGACTTCATGGGCGGAGGGAGTTCCTGGTGAGAAAAGCTCCTTTATCAATGTGTAGACATTATGCTGAGACTAGAGTGTTAGCTATTAATTAGTAGTAATTAGTGCTTATAATCCCTCACATTTCTGTAGTTCTTCAAGGTTTATGCTGGTCCTGTCAAAGCAAGACTTCTCTGCTTCTTCCTTCCTCCTGCCTTTTTTTTTTGTGAATACAGATATATTCTCAGCTTCGTTCTATCAGAAGCTTCTAATTTTACAAGCCCTGCCCTAGGGGAATAAATAACAACACTTACAGCCAGTGGGGTTAGGGTTGTTAACAATAATTAAAAAAAAAGACAACATTAAGGGTTGTGCTTGATAATAACAATAACTATAGCGATAGAGGTAAGAAAGGTTGGGGTTGGTAACAGTCTTACTAACAACAACAGCTCTTACGACTTACTAGCTGGCATTCCTAGAGTACTTTCAGGTTAGGAAGCACTTCACATCTGATTCTCACAAGGCCCGGGGACTCTTGAGTTCGGCTTTCCACGCAGAGTTCTTCTGAGTTTTTTTTCATCGGATCGTTCGATCTAAAACCGAAGTGAGTTATTCACTGCCAGAGGCCCAGATTGTGCAGTCCAGACTTTCAAGGGATTGGGATTGACGTGTTAGCTTCCCTTAGTGGGGACCAGGTCCCTAAGTTTTCTGTTCTTACTGATATTTATGAACGAGGTTTGAGAAAAAGCTAGGTCTTAGGAGAGGTGAGTTTCAGGGTCTATTGGAGTTAAAGCCCAGTCTGATCCATACTTATCCTTTCTGCAAAGAAGTAGATTTTTGAATGTGGGGCAGCTAGGTGGCCGCCATAGTGCATAGAGCGCCAGGCCTGGTGTCAGGAAGATTTTATGTTTCTGAGTTCAAATCTGGCTTCAGACGCTTCATGGTTGGTTGACCCTGGACAAGTCACTTAACCCTGTTTGCCTTAATTTTCTCATCTGCAAAAATACCCTGGAGAAGGAAATGGCAAATCGCTCCAGTGCCCTTGCCAAGAAGACCCCAAATGGGGTCACAAAGAGTTAGACACGACTGAAACAACTGAACAGCAGCATACTAGAAAGCCTGCTGGATCTCAGGTCAGAGGACCCGGGAAACTGAGCATTACCAGGATGTGCTTGGGAAAGTCATTTCCTCAGATTCCTCATCTGGAATGAGGACAGGAGAAAACGAGCATTGATTAAGTACCTACTGTGTGTCAGGTGTCAGAATTTTACAGATATGTATATTTTGTTTTTGTTTTTTTGGTGAGGCAATTGGGGTTAAGTGACTTGCCCAGGGTCACGCAGCTAGTAAGTGTTATGTGTCTGAGGCCGGATTTGAACTCAGGTCCTCCTGACTTCAGGGCCGGTGCTCTATCCACCGCGCCACCTAGCTGCCCCCAATATTTTTTCATTTGAGCCTCTCAAGAACCATGGGAGGTAGGTGTTACAACCGAGGCAGACATAGGGGAAGTGATGTGCCCGGAATGGATCTTAGAGAGAGCACTTGAGAGTTTCCTTAAGCCCAGCGAGGCTAGGACTTGCCTAGGGTCGTATGGGTAGTGTCAGAGGTAGGATGTAACCCAAGTCTTCCTGATTCCAGGTCCAGGGCTCTTATGTGCTGTAGTACCAGCTGTGAGTGCTTCCTCCCCCCCAAAAAATAAATAACATAATTCAGTGCTTTGCACAGTGCCTGGCATACATAGGTGCTTAATAAATGTTAGTTGACTGACTAGATATACTGCTATGTGTAAAAAAATTACCCTCTGTTTATTTTATATTTGACTCAGTGCTTAGTACAGCGTCTGGCATACAGTAGGTGCTTAAGAAGCGCTAGTTGGCCTAACTGATTAGATATACTATTATGTGTAAAAAAATTATCTTGGGTGTATTTTGCCTTTAATTCGGTACCTAGCATAGTGTCTGGCATACAATAGGCTTTTAATAAGTGCTAGCTGACCGACTAGATCTACTATTATGTGTAAAAAGAATTTACCTTGTGTTTATTTTGCGTTTAACTCACTGCTTAGCGCAGTGTCTGCATTCAGTGGTGCTTAATAAGTGCAGCTGACTGACTGTCCATACTACTGTATGTACGTGTAACCTCCCCGATAGAATGTCAGCTTCTTGAGGGCCAGGGACTGTTGGTTTCTGCTTTTGTATCTCCAGCATCTAGTGATGTGCCTGACACCTCTTCCTCGGTGGGTCACTCTCTCTTCTTCTCTCTTGAGCGTATATGGACACTCTGGCTTAGAAAGACAAAAGTGATCCGCTAGGAACTGACGTCCCATACGGATCCCAGGCTCATGGGACCGGCTAGTCTATAGGTTCCCAAAGTGGGTGATACCACCCCCTGGGGGGGGCACGCTGAAACGATGGGGTGCAACTGGGGGGCCGTGAATAAAAATAAGGGGGCGGAGAGGCATAAGGAAAGAAGAGAAGAAAATTTTGGAAAACCTTTCGTGCGTGTTTCAGCTGTTGTGTAAAAGAGTGAAAGTCATAGTGATGACATTATTTTCCATATACACACACAAAATGCAAGTTAGAACCAATTAGTGGTCAAGTCCACTGACAGGTCTTAACAAGCAAGTGTTGGGAGGTATGCATGTTGTGCATTGTCGGGAAGTCCAGGATGCATTGTGGCAGGAATATGTGCGTGTAATGACTTGTTTACAATATGATGCTATATGACACAATATTGCATCATCCAAATTTCAATACAGGAAAAAACCCACAAATTTATAATAAATTATTAAATTTAAGATGCGTTATTTAAAAAAATTTATATTTTTTTGAAAAGACACAAATTAAAAAACTATTAAAGGGTTAAAGAAAGTGGATTTCCGGGGGGGCGCTGAGTAATTTTTCTTTTTAAAGGGGGTGGTCAGCCAGATAAGTTTGGGCACCTCTGGTGTAGTCCACCCCCTCTCATTTTATGTTGAGGTTGCTGGAGCCCTGATAGGTTTTTAACTCACCCAGGATCATGCTGGCGATTTGGCTAAAGGCTTTTTTTGGCTTTCCAGATCAGTTGTTGTACCTTTTTTTCCATGCCTGCCCTTCAGAATCTGGCCAGCCTCCTCTTCCCAGCCCTGGGAAGAGTCAGGAGCAGAAGAGGAGGTAGGTTTGGCCCTTTGGTCATTGGCCAATGAAGGCAGTAGGGCCACTAGGAGCCCCTGCTCCCTTTCTTCTCCCAGTGCCCTAACCCAGGTCCTTTCTCTGACCACAGAATGTCCTGAAGGAGCATGCTGACGATGATCAAAGCCTGGCAATCACTGGTGTGCCTGTGGTCACGTGGCCCAAGAAGACAGCAAAGGTGAGCAGTCACCAGAGTGCCTGTGGGGCTTCAGGGGACCTCCCTGACCCTGGGTATCCTCTTCTCTTTTGCTGAAGCCAGTGGGTGGGTGGAATAGTCTCTTTCCACGCTTCATTGGTCGCTTTCTTTTCAACAGCTTACAATGCTAAGTGTGTTGACTTTGGTGTCCAGGGGGCTCCACCATGGGGCGTGGGGGGCGGGAGGGGGATTCCTTCTGCCTGTGCAGGGGTGCAGATGATGAGTGCCTTCCTCTCCCTGAATGATCCGTGTCCAGGCCCTTCCTTAGAAGTTGTGTCTGGCAGCTTCCTACGTCTCTTTTATTGATTTATGCCTAGGAACGCAGCATTTGGGTTGTCCATCTCTTATGCTCTGCTCTTCCTCCTTGACTGGACATACATGTCTTTTACCTTGAAGGTGGTAATAAGCCACAGCCTGTGTTCCCTCACTACGTGCGCCTCTCCACCACCCGTTGGTAGATTGTATTTTTGTGTGCTTTACCCATGAAACACTAGTGTGTGATCAGAACAGACCCACTGTGTGCTCAGGGGAGTGATGTGGCTGGCTTGACAGGCTCGCTCCGTGCTGGTCAGATTCCTGGTTTGTTTTTTTTTTTATGTTTTGAGCATACAGTCCTGTCCTGGCAAGGTAGGCTCTGGTTTCCACTGCTGGTGTCCCCCGGTCCCCCCCTTAGTCCTGGGATCGTTTTAACCCCATCACAGTGTGTGTTATTGTTGCTACATTAGTTCTTCTCGGTCTTGGGTTGATTTTTCTTTTCTTCTTCGTCACTGACTTTTTTCAAGGGTCCCTGGTGGCTTTGGGTGAGAAGCCCCCATTGAAGGAAATAGGGCTAGTAGAGTAGTTTTGTCCCTTCTCTGTCTCCCTAAGTGTTGAGGCTTCTGGGGAATGGAAAAGATATCCTTGGCTGTCATGGGGGGCTAGGCATCCAGGCCAGAAGAACCGTGGACCACACTGTCCAGACTCCCCATCAGCTGGGAAACGGCGTTAAGGCAGCTATTGATAGAACATGGGCTCCTGAGAGAAGAAGCCCTCAAACCAGCCAGAAGACAGCTCACTGCCACCCTGCTCTCACCTCAGGACTGATGGAGGGACCCATGTGAGTGGCTCAGCCTGGACGTGGGCCATATCCTGCCAGGGACCAGAAACAGCGCCCTCATCTTGGGGCTGGCTACTCTTTCCAGCATCAAGACCCAGTAGACTGTGAGATGACTTCTGGACTGGGGAAAGGAGGAGAGATGGAAGGAATACAGTCTCTTGGAGATTCCCACTGAAACTGGTTATATAAAAGCCAGTGCCTGGAAATGTTTGCATTATGGAAATGACTCAAAATCCACATATTCCGTGTGTGACTTTGTGCAAAGCGGTTTTTCTTTGTGGGACTCAGTTTCCCCCATCTGCAAAATGAGGGAGTTAGATTGGAAGGTCTCTGAAGTCCCTTCCAGCTCTGGGTCAGGGAGCTTGACCAGGAGAGAAGCGAGAAAAGGGCAAGGGGGGAGGGAGACTTGTTGATACTTTCATGCCCTTCTGCCTGAGGTTGAGGGGTGAGGGTACGGGTCGTTAAGGTACAAGCTCATTAAAGAAGCGACTGTTTTAGCTTTTTGAGGCTTTGAGGAAATGGGCTGGATGAAAGATCAAGGCTACCTGGGAAGGATGTCATGATCCCTCCTCCCTTCCTCACCCCCTCCCCCTTGCACAGATCTGGTTACTGCCTTCTGTAAGTAATAAGTGATTAGTGCTGAATGATGATTAGTTAAAAAAGAGTACTTTGATCTGACACCTTTCTGGAAGGAGAGTGCAGCCTGTTTCTGGAAGCAGTTAGTGGCTGGGAGGTCTCGACTAATGCTTTGTCTCTAACAAAGATGCTGTCTAATCACCATCATCCCGTATTTACCATAAATTACTATTTCCCCAGAAGTGGTGGTGGATCTGTGTCTGGCTGGACTGTCCTCTCCTGGCCTCATTCCTTTTTTATGTCCAGCTGGTAGGGTCAGTTGGGGGTGCCGTCTGCAACCTTAGAAGCTGATGGGGGCCCCTAGAGAATTGAACCCACGACCCCTGGCTCATTAGCCCTCTTCCCCCCTCCAGCTGACCTGACTGGCCCTATCTAATCTCTAGATGGAAAAGATCCTCCTGGATTTATGGATGGAACTGAGTCAGGAGAGGAGAGAGAAGACTGGTTTGCCTTAGAAAAGAGACTTTTGAATGAGATCTGACTATTGTCTCTGGAGGCTAAAACACAATGCCACTTGAATTCTCCTTACTGGTAGTTTTTCTGGAAGAGTGAGGCAGGAATGGTTGGAAACAAGGACCTCCGGCTTGGGGTGCGGAGATGGGTCTGGTTGGTGTGTCTTGTGTGTGTGGCTCCTTTGGGACGTGTTTGTGACCACCTCAGCCCATCCTGTCCCTCATCCCTAACCCCCAGCTTCCTTCAGGCCCTAGCTGAAATCCCACCAGAGAGGCAGGAAGCCTTTCTCCATTTCCTTTCATTCTACACCCTTTTCCTCTGCTGATTATTTCCTGTTTGTCCTATTTCTATCTTGTTTGACTGTTATCTCCTCTGTCAGACTGTGACCTCCTCCAGGGCAGAGACTATCTTTTACCTTTTTTTGTATCCCCAGGGCTTAGCCGAATGCCTGGCACATGGTAGGTGCCTAATAAATGTTTATTGATTGACTTCCCTCACCACTGATGAACGTTGCATAAAGTAGCATGGCATTCATTTGTATACATGAAGGCACCTCCCAGACTAGGTAGTCTAAACCCCTCCTTGTGCAGATGAGGAAACTGAGGCCTAAGAAACTAAGTAACCGTCATTCTCCGACGTCCTGATTTCTTCATTTGTTCCTCACAGAAGGTAGACGGTGGGTATGTGGGGGTTAATTGGGTCATGGCTACAGGACTGGCAGGAAGGGCTGGGTTGGGAATCTCTAGGACTTAACTAGCCTGTGTGACCCTGGGTAAGTCACTTACCTTCTGAGAGGCATCATGGTACAATTGGAAAGGCTATATAGAATTTGTGTGTGTGTGTGTGTGTGTGTGTGTTTGTGTGTTTTTTGGCTAGGCAGTGGGCTTAAGTGGGTTCTCCAGGATTACACAGCCAGCAGTAGTCTGACGTGGAATCTGAAGCTAGATTTTTTCCTACGTCATTTCTGGCGCTCATATGTTATCATATGTTGAGTTAAAAATCTGCCTGGCCCATGGTTCCAGTTCCGCCTTCCGGGGCCGAGCGAGACCATTCTGATCCCTCTTCCATGTGAGAGCCTTATCGATATTTGACGATCCGGATTATTGCATCTTTCCCAAGTCTTTTCTTCCATCCAAACTTTTGTGCTTCCTTCATTTGCTGCTGGGATGACGTGGTTTCTAAATCCCCTTTTCCAGAGCAGCCTAGAAACACTGGCTGTTGCCATTATTAACCTGGATAACCTCCTTGGAATTCTGGTGCTCCTGTGAGGGAGCGAGAAACCCTGGCTTGGGACAGTTGGGCCGAACAGTGGCTCCCCAGGGTTCTGAGGCAGTTGGGACTATGCGTGGGTAGGGGGAGAGGAAGTGGATTCTGAGAATGAGCAGAAGCTTTGGGAGCATTTCCGCCCTGTCATGGGAGAGAGCCCCTGGGAGCAGGAGGCCGGTGCAAAGGGGAGGAATTCCAGGCAGAGAGCAGCCAAGAGACATGAGATGTGTCTGAGCAAAAGGTGGAAAGGCCTCCCTAAGGCGAGGAGGCAGCTGGAAGTTGGGGAGGAAGCCAGGAGGGAAAGCGGAGCCAGAGAGATTGGAGAGAAGAAAGAGGCAAGTGGAAGTAAGATGGGTGGTGGGGTGGGAGAGGGGGAAGGAGAGGGCCCAGAGGGAGGAGTTGTGGAGGAGTTCTAGCCCAAGGGCTAGAATCTTCCTAATGGCAGACTGAAACCCAGCCATGCAAGGGCTTACAGAGGTTTGAGCCTAAAGCAAGTGCTGGTTATTTTAAAACAAATTGCAGCAAAAATTTATAGCAAAAAATAAAAGGTTACTAGTAGGTGGCTCAGTGGATAGAGCACCAGCCCTGGAGTCAGGAAGACCTGAATTTGAATCCAGCCTCGGACACTTACTAGCTATGTGACCTTGGGCAAGTCACTTAACCCTTATCACCTCCAAAATATAAATAAGTAAATAAAATAAAATAAAAAATTAGTAGATGGCTCCCTTATTCCGGGTAAGATCCTGGAGGCATCTTGGTATAGCTTCCAAAACAGAACTGGATTTGGAGACAGGTGACCTAGGCTAGGGTCAAGTCTTGTCTGCTGTTTAAGTTGCCTGGACAGCTTTGGCTAAGTGGATTGACCTTACTGACTGAGCCTCACTTTCCTGTCTCTCTGAGGTGTTAGCTCTGCCTATCCAGGGACCGTTAGAGGATCATCATAGATTTGGAGCTCCGAGGGGCCCAGAGAGGTCAGGGGCATGGGGAGAGCAGGCTGTACACTTTAAAACACTCCTTATGTGTGACTCCTTATCAGACCACAAAATTTCATTACAGTGGAACCATTGAGGACACAGCTCTTGGAATCAGTGGTAAGGGTATCCCACGGCCGGGGGCATCTCAGTTCTTATGGGGTGGTGTGGGGATATCTATCAAGACTGAATGTGGAATATTAAAGATGGTGGTCTAGCCTGAGTCCAGATTATTTAAGGAGCCAAACCACACTCCTCTTCCTCCCTTCTTCCTCTCTCTCTCATTCTCTTCCTTCCTCCTCTCCACCCTTCTGCCCTTTCTCATGTAGGTGGCTCAGTGGATAGAACACCAGGCCTGGAGTCAAGAAAACTCATTTTTGTGAGTTCACATCAGGCCTCAGGCACTTCCTAGCTGTGTGATCCTGGGCAAGTCACTTCACCCTGTTTGCCTCAGTTTCCTCATCTGGAAAATGAGCTCGTGAAGGAAATGGCAAACCACTCCAGTATCTTGGCCAAGAACTCCCCAAATAGGGGCAGCTAGGTGGCTCAGTGGATAGAGC